GGATTGTAACATTCCCGGTACTTGTTCAAAATTGCTACCTTTTTGATGCCTGCATTTTTAACCTCCGTATCACCAAATTCCACTCTTTGTCCCTCAACTTTTGGCCAGTAATCGGCGCAAACGCACATGTTGTTCTCAACAAAATCACATAGCATAACGATATATTCGCAATTCGTCTGACAGATCATCCGCCAAAAATCTTCCACCGTTGATTCCAGGGGAGCCTGAAAATACTATTGAACCATATTAATATACAATTCTGGAAAAAAAATTATTTAATTTCCCAGAAGAATTAAAAGTGAGGAATTTTGTTGCACGTTAATTAGTTGATTTTTTATGAGTAACATACAACAAACGGTACACATTTTTTCCCGATGTTATATTCCCGCCGTTACGTAGGTCAGCGTATCATGTCGGCCATGCAGCAGCCCAATCACGTTGATGATGCCGCACTGCTAGTATGCTACACGAGTATCTCTGTCTGCTCGCACTTTTTGTCACTGTTTGTTGTTATTTTTCCATCAGTAACATCATATCACTCGTCTATTCATTTTTTGCAGAATATCTGTCGAATAAAACATTCGAAAAATGAGTTACTGTATTTACATCTAAGCATGAAGTACTTCAAAACGTGTCACGACGTTGTGCTATATTTAACCTCTTGTTCTTTCCTATCTACACGATTTGTGTCATTTTTTGGTGCCTTTCAACCAGTACCAATTTTTGTTAAACAAACAGGAAATCTGTAAAAACTATGAAAAATTGCATGAGCACAGAACTCGCTTTTCCTCTTGCTTTTGAATCCGAACTCCTGACATGTATGCATGAAAGTGTATATGTTTCCTGTGTGGTGAATGAACTTAGGCTGGAACGCACCGGGCGGGCCTGTGCGATCACACTTTTTCGTATCGGACTTGAAGTACTCAGATCATTAATTGTCTGAATTGTCGTTGCTCTACAATTAACTTTTGCAGTCACTAGCACAAATCACTATAAAACTTGCATAAAGTAAATGTACAATTTCCATTTCATGATCGTTCTTTAAAGGCAACCTAGCTGTTCATTGAGAATTTTTTCCGCCAAAAATTTTTAGTGCCCGTACTTAAGAATCATGCATAGCTTGAGGCTGAGTTTGAAATATTTGAGTTGTACCTGGACATGGAAAATCCCTCGCCCCCCCCCCCCCCCCAAAAAA